GTTAGAACTCCTGTAAGTGCAACAGACCTTCACAGAACTAATGCTTCCGTAGATCCATCCAGAAATGCTAGGGAATGAAATGAAAGATGGTTTCTTTGGAGTATTTGGATGTGGTGAAGGATGTCGTTTTAACTTGGCTACAATAGTGTTCTAGATCAGGTACTCTATTAGCTAGCTATGTTAGTAGAGGGTAGTGGCATACCGCTCATTACACACAAGTAACAAGGTTATGCCATCTTTGCTACAAAATATACTGATTAAGGTGGACAGTTGAAACTAGATGGTATATTCATTGGTCAGCCTTCTTCAGGCAATCAATGACAAAACAATTGCTTTCTGCATATTTTTGCTCACCTAACTGCATTTTGGTATGTGGATGGATCGTTTACATGGATCATCCATTGGAATCGCTCAACTTCCTGACATGACACTAAATATACGGTTATAAACGAGAGATTCAGTTGCAATTCGCTGAGTCTTTCGTTAACATCAATTGGGTTTATTGGTAGCTTAGATTTTTGGCTTGGAAATTCCCTAAGAGCAAAACTGTTCAATTTCCCAAAGATAGCTTTTCGGTTCAAAGGTGGCGTACTCTCAGAGCACAAGTGAACCATCGCAGTCAGGGAGTGTAGGTAGGAAATGTTGCCAGGATCCACCAGAGTAGAGAAGAACAATTATTGTACGGACGATGCGAACAGAAAGAATAGAATTGATATGTCAGTCAGGGATTTTAGATCAACGATATAATTCCAGAAGTGATGGACTAAAGTCTTACAGCTGGATGTCCGGTTCTGGCATGTAATTGGTTGTATTCTGAGAAACTGGGGTGTCCGAACGTGTAATTTACTGCTACAGAGGATGAGTAGGCTTCATACAAAAAGTGTTTTAATTTTTCCACTGTTGACATTTCCCCTGGCCCGGGTAGTTTGATCCCGACAAGGCGCTATCCGCTAAGTAAGCCCCGAGTAATTAATACCTACATCCGACCAACCATGAAGTACGCTATACAAGCTTGGTCACCATGGCTTCAAAAAGACATAATTCTTCTACAGCGAATATATCATCGAGCCACGAAGCTGGTAATTGGATTGCATAATAAACCGTACGAAGACAGGATTGCCAGTCTCATCCCATTTGACTTCTACTACCGGCGCATCAGGGGAGACCTAATTCTAACATATAATGTACTGAAGACACCTAATCATCTGCTGGAAAATCTTTTTGTCCGACGTCGACAACGAACGGACAGGAGGCATGACTTTTCGCTCGGGGTGAACTGTCGACGGAAAGTTTTGCGGTCCGTGTATGTTTCATTTGGAACTCCCTACCTCCCAATGTCGTACATTCGCCGAGTTTAACCATTTTCAAGAACAATTTAGATGCATATCTTATGTCCAAATCGAATCTGGAACTGTTTAACTCCATGTGATACTCAGCAAACAGTATGCATATTTTTACGTCCCTTTGTATATATACGTTCACCCTATGGTCGTTGTAAAGTTAACTGCTTTTTAGACCATTAAACCTTGAATTACCTTTCTCTTTTCCTACGGTTCACTCTCGTCACAACACCATTCACCGCTTCTCCAAAGACAACTGTCAATGAGTCGTGACGTTCTAATGGGATTGAATCTATCGCAAAACTTCGTACAATCAAACCAATATAATAACGATCCTGTTACGTCACTTCATGAAGAAGTCTGCAGCACACAATAAGTAATTTATCAAAAGTAACGTTTTACGACCTTGCGTCAGTAGCGCTTGCTTTTGTTTAGTATAGAAAGACTGTAAATTCTTCCAAGTCAATTTATGACAGCTCTGCTACGGCTAGCGTGGTTCATTTGGTGAAGCGACGGTATGCTCAGTAAGGCTAATCGCATGGTAGACGTGGAGCGAAAAGAATAATTGCCACTGATGAAAGGGATAAATCCGAACGGCGTGCATGAGGAATGTCAAATTCGATAGTCTATGACCACGTTAGACGGAATGGAGGTACGAAAACCCAAAGCAAGGCATCCATGCAATCGACTGTCGAGTAGATGCAGCAATTAACTGCTTATTCATTCATTAACGTACACGTCTTTTTTGGGAATCGTCCGATAGATGTCATTGGTGCTTTGGATATGCCAGATCACTTGTGGATACATCCGCGTTGTGAGCTTGAGGTAAATCACCGGCCAAGGTGCGAACTTACTGACATGAAGACTCGAAGCCAATTCTGGCATGCCGACTGCTCCGATTTACTCTTGGGCAACCTGGCCGTATCTCAACCCTCGTGATTTATTCGGGTGGCATGGCGGCTATGATACGACTGAACGATTATTTCTGTCATCATTATAGCGAGCTTGTCAAGACTCTGGCAGCGGTTTCTTTGTGCAGCAATGAAACCGTGCAGTGAAATCGCTGCTGCTCTCTACGTGATAATCCCTTCACTGTATTTGGAGTTAAAACTTTCTCCTGTTTCAGCGGAAGTGCTTCTTTCCGTTTGTCCTGATCCATCCTCACGACCACCTGCATTTGATTTCTGAGTATTACTAGGGTTAAGATAGGTACACATCAGACATGGAGTACATCTCATAAGCGGTAGTTTTCCATGTGGTATTCCGCAAATAAATGCTTGAATTCTGGCACATTGCCGGATAGGTAGATAGTAGAATCTCTTAGACCCTTTCAAATGGAGCGAGTATGGTAGGTGCCGAACAGGAACTGCAAAGGCAAAGATTTCCCTGTCTGTATCATATCGCAGCGCAATCAGTTTGTCATGCTGTATACAGTTAGCGGAGATGGCTAGTGAGGTACAAAGAGCAGCACGCGTTTGGAAGTAGAAGTGTCTTCAGCTTTCGGTGAGGTGATTGAACAAGCAAACCTTCAACTGGCCGATTACGAATGTGGTATAAACATTCTATAGGCAGTGAGCCTGTGTTGATGAAATTGGCGAAAAAGATAATAAGGGACAGGCGAAATACACTCATTTGCAAACTAATTTGGTCTTGCGAGAGACTCACCTGGAACCCAGCTGAATCTCTCGTTTATGATGTTATCAGGCAACTGAATGTGTTGCACCAGGCCGCCTCATGTTTCAGTCGCTATGATGCTCGAGATATTGCGATACATCTATATTCGTAATCCACTACTCATAAGGTTGCAGCCAGGTTGTCGACGAATTTTCAGCAACCTTATGAGTAGTGCATTACGAGTATAATACGGGATGGTTTCGAAACTAAGAAAATTTACATGGTGTCCATACAGCTTGAGATGGTGTTCGGGGATAAAGAACGTTGGATATCTATCAGGCTTCTTAATAAAATGTGAACAGTGGTCGAAGTACGTGCCGGTTACAAGACTAAGGTCAGCAGTGAAGTTCCATGAGATCTGACTATACAATCGTAGTATTTAGTACAAGTCCCAGAAAAAACGGATGTGCGGCATTGTGATTCTGATCAACCCGTGCATAAACCAATTTTCGTTCACTGGGGTATTCAGAATAATTCAGGTTATCTGAACATAAAAATTTGCAGCCAACGGCACCTGTGGTGTTGATGTGATACCATGTTAGCTGCTGTATTGTTCGGGCATTTGCTCATTTGAAGCAGCTATTATGAGCTTCCATTGTCTGGGCATCGGTATCCCTTACAAGATGAACTGATGATCATTCCAGTATACCGAGGATTTTTTTCACACTATTCAGCAGACCATCTACCGTGTCTTTGTGCAACCATGCACCGAATGGAAACGGCCACGGAAAGGCCAAATTGCTATCTGGCAGCATAGGATGAGATTTGAAAGCATATATATATATATATATATATATATATATATTCGCCCCCACCCGAAGCATGCATACTGACCTAATGAGAAAAACATACCAGGGCCGGTCTGAAGTTCATGGGGCGACAATCATTCATCAAAGAACACATTCCTCTAATGAATCCACAAGTCAGGACGCTTGCACCGAATTGGAGCGACGAATTGTGGTGTGTCACTTGAAAAGGAGCTAATATGACCAAATAAAGAAATAGCCGGACTGCTTACATTCCTAAGATCGACCAGGTATATGAAGCATGGTACCGTCGTCCTTTGGTTACAAAGGTATGCGGGGCGTGCAAGATATCACTGCACATTGTCCACTGAACCCTTGATTGCAACGACTCAACTGAGAAATGAATTTGTGTCCCCTTCTGTGCAGTACGCTTTTGTCTGGGACACAAGATAGATGATGCCAATAACACTGGATGATGAAGGATTTGAACAGTCTAACAAACACCGTATCGGAACTCCCGAGTGCACATGAAAAGTAGAAAGCTGAAGCCCAGATAGAACAATACCGGCTTAGTGTGCGATGGTTAGACTTTAAGAGAGCAAGAGGCAAGTGATTTGCCGAGACCACGCAGTCACTAGAACCCTGACGATAAATTCAGAAATATATTTACACCAAAAAAAACACGAAAAGTTGATGAATGCGGTTTAGAAAAAGGGACTGCTTATGATCCACCAAACAAATTTCGTCTTCAAAATGAGTTTAGGAGTTACTTGAGTCAAATTGAACTCCAAACCAGATGCACCTAGAAGACCCATAGTACCAAGCAAGAACGACAAAATCAATTCACACTCCTGTCGAGGAAATGCTGGTGCGAAAAAGTTGTTCCTGTTCGAGGTAGAATCCCCCGGAAGAGACACTTTCTTGTTTTCAAAATGGTTGGAATGGATGGTATAACGAGCACTTGGGGTACCTTACATCGCGAGCTAACAATGGCCCAACTGAACTTGACCTATAATTTTCCATGCACGACTACCTTCTGTCTCGCGCCAGAGTTGCAACCCGGATCGATGTAATCCAAGCCAGCACATTGGATGGAGCAATGCTCAACTCGATATTTATCCAGTCCTACCAAATGACAGTTGCTTTTTTCTTGAGGGTATGCACTACTCATTAGCTAACTGAAAACTCGTCGACAGAATATGACAGGTTTTGCCTTTCTTGTGGCTCATCAGACAGATGTAGGTTATTTGACGCTACAGCAGCGTGTCCAAGTAATGGATAGGCAAGACCAGTGATAAATGTTTGGCTCATCCAGTTGTTTAAAACTTCCGGATATGGCTCCGATGGAATACGGCGTAAGATAGAACTCTTTCCAGTTAACCTCATTCCTCCACGAGGATACTTTCATCAGTGACACATTTCATACGCACCGAAGGGAGTACCGTATTTTGATGAATATCGCGGAGCCACAGAACTGGCTCCAAATGCAAACGTGAATGTGTGCCCACACAAATATTCCACCGTTTGTTTCTCACATCACTTCTAGGTGTATGCGAGGGATAAAAAACGGACATAGAATGTGACGAGTGGCGTGAGTCCTAGCCTGTATAAGATGGATATGGGTTATCCATGAAAGCATCACCGCAAAGGGAACAAAAGCCGTAGCCAGCTAGAGTCAAACCCGGCCCACGACTGTTGTTCCGCAGGAAACGAGTTCGTTTGTTTCGCAGCAAAATACAAAACATAAAGCTGTCAAACAGCAAAAAAAAAACAAAAATATTATTTCTCAATACAAAACAAATCCAAAGGAGAGGTAAGGGTGAAAGACAAAACAATTTTCCAAGCTGCTCCATTATCATACATATCACGAGAGTTTTCGTTCAAACAAGAAGCAATCGCGTCGTGCCCTAACGAAGTAAACCGGGACCACTGATAGCAGGACGAAGGTCAGGTTAGCAGTTCCGTATCCAAGATAATCTGTGAAAGGTGCCGCAACGACGCCGAATATAAGTTTGCCAAGAAGTTCTGCGGTGCTTAAAACAGTGTAGTGAGTGGCTTGGGTTTGTACAGGTGATTCAGCTCGTGTGCACTGCATCATTATGGTGAACATTACCGTCGTAATAGCCCCGCTCACAAACAAAGTGAGGTTCATGAACAGCATTGCGACAGCTGAAATAAACATGGGAAGATATGCGGAAAATGAGCGAGGGAAAGAAGAGTTTGAGAGTCACCATAAGAATAACAAATTAAAAACGAGAAGGGAGCACATACAACTATGTTTGACAACTACGTTCTACGTGGAAATGTGGAACGCACTTGATTACCGAGCCGATCAGACGGCCGATGTCTTTAGACAAGTTCGGCTGGTAAGCTGTTCTTATTGGGGTCTATAAATGGCCCACTTTAATACAAATACATCTTCCAGGAGCCGTGCGAGAGGTACCTTTCTGTGATAACCACGTAGAAGACAGACAGATTGCTGGTTAATCGTAGTGTCTTGGGTGGGATGATGGTGTGCTGCAGGTCAACGGTACGAACTTCTCAACCGCTGTGGAATTCTATTGGTTATCAGACCATAGACGGTTTGGGAGTTGTTAGTTAGACTACCTCATTCGCCTGCCATCGGATGCGGAACTATACCGTATTCCTTCCAGGAAAGAAGGGAATATGGGAATGGATGGAGGTCCATCATGCGAATGTGCACCGAACGCCACAGCCTCAACAGGCGAGTTGTCAGAGGTATCTTGTATCTATTTCAATGGAACAACATAGGTACATTGACCGTGTTTGAAGTAAAATATTCGGATGACGGCTGCCGAGGCCTACATGTGGGACCAAAAGGCGTTCACACCACCGAATGCAGAAAATGCCAAATCCTCTGCACTACTACATGTTTGTGAGTAGCAAGATTTAAACCGTCACAACAGCGGTCGTGCGAGCACCGTCTGTGCGGCTGTCAACTTCTTTTGATACTATCAAGCACACACGAATACGTTCATCCGATTTTAAAATATCCCAGGTAGGTGTCACGGTGCAACGGCATTCATGTTGTTTGCACTAAAGGCGTTTGTACACATATTTCCTGCAGAAATAAAGAATGTCTTACTACTGGGCTGAATAGGCACTGCGATGTGACTCACTGTCTGGCCACTACACTACCGTTGTTTAACCGTTTATTCGCTGCTCAGTGGAGCTGTATACCTGAACATGCCCATATGCATGTGCTTGCGCTTGGAAAAGATTGTTAGACGCATAAAAATGTGGATGCAAAAGATGATATGTGCAACGTTGCTATGTAAACACAGAAGGCTAAAAAGGGATCTGTGGAACTCATGAATAACGTCAATGATGGAGGACAAATGCGGGTTCGCTAACTCGTTACACTGTAAAGTGGCCTTATTAGGGATGTGTCCTTTTTTACGGAGGTGATCCCAGCGGCCGCGATTTCCAGAAAAAAAAACAGTTTCTATAAAGGCAACTCTACTAGCAGGCAGATAGGTACACAGCACAAAATCCCAGCTTACCGAAGGAATGTTCGTGGAAACCAACTCCAACATGTTCTACTGCAATCAACAGCAAGGGGAGCTGCAGGATGGCACGAAACAGCATCAGTCGCTCTAAGACATCTGCAGATGACCTGAGGAAGGTGTGGAATTTGATTATGCAACACTATGCTGCAAAAGACAGGAGTTTGAACAGCAATTCACCACGACATGTAGGCTATCTACTTGCACAAGTTCCTTCAACAAAAAAGTCCTTCACTTTATACATCGGCGACGTTGAGTAATTACGCATCCTAACGGAGCCAGTTTGGAATAGTCTCATTGGGGGAAGGGATGTTGTGGACTATGGCGTAAAGTAATCCATGTCTGGGGGTCCCCGGATGGAAATCACTGTACCCAGCAAGTATGAAGCACGTGCCAAACCAAGAAACAGCACTAATTAAGTTCGCATTTCCAAACTGTCTGATCCAAGAATAGAGATACTGTGGGTATACTCAATGTCCGTGAGCGAAACCATCGGGAATATTTCAATCCCCGAGGTGGAGAAGGCAGCTAAAGAACATTCATGCCGCATATGGGTTGCGAAGTTAAAGAAAAAGGGTCACAGAGGAACCTCTTCGAACACCAATGGATGTGAAGGGCTCAAAAGAACTCGTCGTAGACACTATGTCATTAGAGGAGGCGTACGTTTATAGGAGATAAGAATTCAGAAGGGACACCTTTGACTACAGGATAATGTCACAGTTTCTAATGCACAAAAAATCAAACGCTGCTTTTAGATCTCAAAAAGACCGTTTTTTCGTCGTCAGAAAAAGTGGCGTAGTAATCGGTTCAACACCAGCCTGGAAGTAAACCGACGTACGGAAGGCGAATTAAAAGCTATGTTAGCTATAGTGATGCCCCGATGGTTTTCGCAACATGCCTTCCATCCACTTTTGGAAGTGGAAACCGTCATAGGGGTCTCCATTCCGCAGTATTTTGAAGAAAAGTTGTCAGGTTGGGGCTAACCTGTTTGAAAAGTGTAGGAATCAAACCACCAGGGCCAGAAGCTCAAGCAACTGATGTGCACGCCGGAACACCGTTGTCCATAGCGCACGGATAGAGACATTTCACTCGGATCGCCCGACGGTTGACCATAACCGCCGGTAGGTTATCCGATACGGTAGGTTGCCACAAGCTCGATGCGCGTCCGAACGATATCTTCTGGGCACGGGGGCATCAGAAGTGAGACGTCTATGCCTTATTCCCATTGCACTCGAGCTACACTAACCAGTCCAACTGAACAGGCCAGAGGATTGAGCAGTCGGCTTCAGACAGAGTCCTTCAAACCCCGATGCGTAAAGACAAAGCCTCCGAACAAAACCCCCCATCTTCCCAATGTCTTGTGGAGCAGCCTTTTGAATCGAAATCTCACAGCGAAGTCAACACCATCATTGTCAGTTGTAAGAACCGCGTACTTGTCATACAGTGGTTGTAGCCGCGCATTGGAAGCGGGAGATGATAAATTGGTGTGTAAATATAGCACTGTCAGTGGATTGTTAACTGGGGGAATTGGGAAGTGAGCTATGCATTGAGGGCAATAGCTTGGATGCACGAGTGCCATTGAGGACACGACTGGGCCATATCTGACAATGTCTCTAACCATTGATGTGGACCGTCTCGGGGTCCCCATCCAAGAAGACGGCAATGACCAGCGCAGTTGAGTTTGCTGGTAACGGCTTTTATACTAGCTGCCAAGTCATTGTTTGACCGCCTCTGGCTCGTTTCCACGTTTCACGTGGTTGTGCGAAAAGAGCCCTTCGAGGAAGTCGGTCGACTGGCATACCCAGCACCTGGCCAGGCCAGCGCAACCGATTTAGTGTGATCAGATCTATCGAAGGACAAAATCAGCTCTCTTACATTCAACCATCCGTGTTCAGTGATTCAGAAGCCATGATATGTGAAATACATGACATGAGAAATGCATTCAGCCCCAGAGCTGAAAAGGATTTAATGGACTGGATCCCGGTGAGCAAGCGCAAACTTCGGAGTGCAGCTACAACCCTGTGTAGGAATGAACCCGGAAGAAAGCCAATTGAAACAGAAGACAAAGTCAACTACCTGGGTAGCTGTCTCAACATATGTGGCCTAGTTAAGGACGCCGTTTCTATCCACATCGAGAAGGCCTGCAAAGCCTTAGTCAACTTGCAGCACCTGTGGTGCAGGCGTGACACCAGCTCATCTGTCAAGGAGGGTGTCTACAATGCCACGGAGTGCCCCGTATTGTTATACGGGTCAGAAACCTGGCCACGGCCAGACAAGGACGTCAAAAAATAATTCCGGTTTGGCCATCGGTCTCTATGGTGCATTGCCAGTCTGACAAAGACATTCGGTCAGTAATGATGAAGTATGTCGGATGGCTTCCGGAAGAAACGATTCGGCCACTATAGATGAGCTCATCGCACTCAACAGGTTGCACTGGCTTGGTAACGTGCTCCATATGTCAATCAACCGGCTTCCTAGGACAGTCCGCTTCGCACAACCAGGCGGAACGAGGAATCAAGCTAGGGAAGATCAAGCAATGACTTGGCAGCAAGGCACGAAAGCCATTACCGGTAAACTCGGCTGTACTAGTCATTGCCCCTCTGTCTAGATCAGTACCCTGAGACGCGACACATTAATGATTAGAGAATTGGCAGAAACGGCCCAGTCGCGTGCATTCATCCAAGCTGTTGTCTTCAATGCACGGCCTACTCCCCCAACCTCCCAAATGTAAAATCCACTCACTCCTCAGGTCAATTATATCAATCACCACCCCGAATGCACAGCTGTCCATCTCCATCTTCTAAGGTCATCGGAGAACGAAACGGTGACAGCTATAATGACTGTGTAAAACGCACGAGGTTTACGCCTGGACATGGATGAAGGTGAATGTAGTTTTTCTGGCACCAATATCATTGTCCGCGCCGGTTTATTCATGACAACGTTTCCGCCAACTCAAATCGGTACTGTTTGAAGCTGGAGAAGGTTTGCTGGCGATGAATTGAATGGCCTTGAGTCAACCAGCGTACCCTAGGGAGGAGGCGATTAATACAAGTATCTGAATAATGCCGTAGTCAGGATAAAGCGGTGTACTACAAGGGAAATAACAACCCTGAATTCAAGCTCTGCACCCGTTATAGCATGCCACATAGTACAAGTGAATCCATGACTAGTTTGCGGTTGTTGGCTCCAGATGGTAGTGCGAGCGCCAGAAACAAATGCTGTTCACCCCCAAAACGACCACCAAGATAGGTTTTTCCAGACTTAACGTGTCGAGCTGGACATTCAAAACATACATCCTCATAGAAGTCATCTTCCGTACTCTCACTGATTCCATCTATCGGAGTGTATGCAGATACAGCGATCAAACAAGGTTTTCCGCGTAAGGTTGAAGTTGTTTTAATTGAATCAAATGACCGAACAGCTGGAATCCAGTGCGGCAAAGTGTCTTCAACTCTAGGACTGAGTTCATCCTCTATAATGTATATACAAGTCATTGTATTCAGTTACCCAGGCACTCGAAGAGTGAAGAGCGGGAAATCCAGATCCGCCTGGAGCGGTTTGAGGTATACGAAACAACTGGAGTCTAGAGTGAATGCCGCGCAAACAATGTGCATCGTTCGAGAGCGAAAACAACCTGCGGTTTAATAAGTATTACGAACGTTGAAAAGATCCTTTAGGTTACTTACGGATTTATTTTACCGGCTAGACGGTTAGGCACGTAGCAACAGTTATGCAATTAGTGGAAGAGGTTGAGAAGTGAACGGTGAACGGGGGCAAATGATACTTTTCGGTTTCTCAAACCGAAGAGGGTTACGATGAGACACAAGCAGCTGAAGGGTTTGGTCTCCTTCAAACTGAGTAGAAGTGTCTATACCCATTAAAACAAAGTCGACGAAGGGAAATTAACCACCCGTTGGTAACTAATAGGGGAAGGAAAAATAAGGACAGACCAAACAGTCACCAGAATTTGAAGTGTGATGGTATAACCAAACATAACAACACAAAATAACGGCTACAAAGTAGATTCCACTGACGATAGGTAACCTCCATGCATATGTGCTATAAGGAGTTGGTGACGTTAAGAGCTAGTAACCAGAGGTAGGACCAAAGATATGAACTACAGATCTTCATTCATCCTATGAGTGATCAACATACCGGCCGGGGGCTTGGAGCTTGTGTGCGAACGTCGAACCCAGAATAGAGGAGAGTTGGCCAACCATGCCACTCCACAGACCAATTTTCGCAACCGAAGCGCCTCGGTCGAAAAGCATCAGTGGCAGCATGTTCATGGCACCCTGCTCACCAAGTTTGTAGACCAGAAGCAAAGCAATAAGGTGTCGCGATCCAACGGAGTTGATGACAGCCTCGCTTAGGGTGGCTACATAGGATGCTTGTCGAACAGATCCCATGCATCCATCGTCTTTCATGCGACCAACTTGGCCATCGTCCAGTTGGCCATTTTCTGATAAGTGACAATTGAGAGAATGTAACGAAATTTCGATGGAAAATGCTATGCTTAAAAAATTCTGAATCACTACAAAACTGAAATATGAGGATACCACCCTATATGCGGAAAAATACAAAACTTCAAGGAGCAAACTAAGATCAGTAAACAAACTTCGGATATGCACGGAACTTCTAGAGGTTTCGCAGTCACGACCTCCCGGCAAGTAGTTTGAACATTTGGCCATCTGGCCAAGGACAGCTGAAAAGTAGTGTGGTTAGCTCACACCTATACAGGATATAGTGTTGTTCCTCCTTCAATCACTTGGTCACGTATCGATTAGCTCCTGGGGTGACGGCCCCAATCGTTTTGTGAAATTATAGATTGTTATATTATAGTTTGTTAGTAGTAGGGGATTTCGAAATTTTCAACTGAAACTTCGTCATGTAAAGCCAGTCCATGCTGAAAAGCACAGCCGAGAGGTCGTGTGTTAGGAACTCCCGGAAATTTCGCGAGGTAGCTACTGCTGATAATTCTAAATATGGATGAAAAAGCTGTACAGCTCTTCGGCTTTTCAGCACAAATTGACCCATGTACTACCAGACTTCATCGTTGGTCATTACGTTGAATGTTAACCGCAAACATTCGTTGTCGCTTAGACGAATGGCTGCAATATGACTACAGGGAAGCGAAGGAATTTTCTGACCTATTGCTGAATCACAGTCTGTCCGACCAGAATGCTAGCCGGAACAGTGTAGATGAGAAGTAGAGAAGTCCTCAGTCAACGCTTGTCTGATCTGCTTGCCTGTATTTGTATTTGTTGTATCGATAACAGGAATCATCAGACTGATCTTGGGTAGAAAGGCCGGTAACTCCTACTATAGAGCCAACAGCCCCTTTGCTGGGATTTGATGTGCGGACTTAATGTGCTGTGCCGACCAGCGAGAAACTTGTCGTTTACCCCAAATTATCCTTTTAATATTCGGGATCACCTGACCTACGCGTTACCTAAGAATCCCTATTGAAGACTGAAAATCAAAGTTCTAAGCCCCAAGGCGGGGTAAGTACTTGACTGACACAACGTTAACCAAGACGACACCAGCTTGATTTGTCTGCGTTTGGAGTCCCTCACAAATGACAAATGGCTCGGTGGGTCGGTATAACTTGACGAATATCTTAATCAGAGTGACGTTTCACGTCCGTCTAATGATCTTTTTTTGGAAGTCAATCAAAAAATGGAGGCCATGTAATCGGTCCGGTATGCTTTTACTGTCACGTCCACTGTGATATGACTAAGACGGCGCATCTGTCCCAAGAATCCTGATGCAGGCAGGCACACTGCTGGGCGATAGGGGATGTCCATAATTATAGCCGCATAAGTTTCGCAGCGTTAGTAGTGTCTAGTAGCGGCTCTGCGTTCCAACGAGTGTTCAGATCCATGGATATGGACCCAGTTAATATCTGGGTTCGCTTAGCAGCCAAGGCATTACAGGGCGTGGTGCTCACCAGGAACGACGAAGAACAAGAATGGTTGTGTGAAGATACGCTTATGGAGACCATCGAGAACTCGTGAAACACATTTATTTGCACACCAAGTTGGTTTTAACGGAAGACTCAAATGAATCCTAGCTAAATCCCTGGTTTGTAATATCCATAAACTGAACGCGCTGCAAAGGCCACCTCATGTTTCAGCTGGTACGATGTTTAACTACCTGATGATGGGCTGTCGACGAGTTTTCAGTCAGCCTATGAATAGCGCTCCTTCAATAAAATATCACCTGGAGCTCTTCCATTGAAAATAACCCATTTTCAATGGAATAGCCTTTATACGGTGAAAGCATGGACACAGTCTTGTACATATCTGAGTCGGTTTGTGAGGCCGTATTGTTGTGTGTTGTGATATAATGGATAACCTTTGGGTCTCAGTAGTAGGTTATTCGCCTGAGAAAAAAGCACCAATTAACGAAAAAACAACAGCCCCCCCCCCCTAATGTGGAGCATAAGCCAATCAGAACCATTGCCAAAGGCATATTAGGAACTAGAAACAGAAGGATTAAATTAGGGTACAATAAAGCACCGGGATACCTTGGACACAAATGGTTGTTTGATTTTCAGACCAAGCGGCTTCCACGTCGCGTAAAGTCGTAGAGGTGATGCACAGCATTGCTCCGATGACATAAACGCATGCAATAATTCCAAGCAGTTGACTCGCAGAGAAAAGCGAGGTTGCTGCTGTTAAAAAACCTCCACCAACAATAGCACCAAACTTGTAACCAACCACTTGAATAGTGTTTCCGACAGATAGTTGATCTGAGGATAGCAGCTGCAGTGCCACACCATCAACGGCAATATCTTGTGTTGCAGCAAACAAGTTGTACAGAAAGAGACACAGGGCTAATGGAACTACTGAGGCCGACCCAGTGGTCTGTGATGAGGTTTCACGGGGAATGAGATTTTCACCCAGGGCTAGTGTGAGGGTAACCGTGAGTAGTCCTACTAAACTTCCGAAGAGCCAGTAACGTTTTGTGAGACACAAGTCGACGAGCGGAGCGTAGAAACTTTTCAACAACCATGGCACGTACAACAATTTGTAGAAACCAAGTGCTGTGAGAGAAAGACCGCTACTCCGGAGTAGAAGAGGGAGAAATCGGGATTGAAGACCGTACGGTATACCCTCCAGTAAATAAAGGTAGAATAGGAGCAACAACGTCCGCAGCATTTGTGTTCCTCCAACAAGTATCCTAGAGATGAGATAAAATGAAGATACTCAAATAGTGAGAATAAACCTATATACTACAAGGACTGTAAGTACAGAAGAAAGATCAATAGCACAAACGACACTCGTTCAAAGACGGAAAATATGTCCATAGATATCAACTGGAGTGGCAACAGACTCACTTTTATTGTGTAGTGGAGCAGTTGAGTAAGACGCCAGATTCCATAAAGAGGACCATTGCAGCCAAGAGGTAATTGCTACCCACTTGAGTACATTTCATCCAATAAGCGTGTAGACTGGTACCACGTAAGTTTAATGGAACGCGGCGGATGGCACAACGTTGTGCACAAGCAACTACCTCGTGTCGTTTTCAACAACGACATAGGCTAAAGTTGTCGGACTGCTGCATGGGTCATAACCACTAACCCATCGATACGTACCACTACGCTCTCTAACAACGGACTGATGATGTCACCTCCATTGGTGATGAAACGTTTGCAAGAAAACTGCCCAGCTCAGCGAACTAACCAACGACCACCTAGTTTTCTTGTATTCGAAGTTTTACTAGCAGCCTTCATCCCACAGTGGATACTTCCCACATTACGGCTTGATCGGTGAATTGGAAGGCATGCTACCATACGGATCCGAGAAGTTCGGTTTTCTGCAAGCATCAGCCATCGGGAAGTCCAACCACCGCCACCATCACATAAACCGCATAAATAGCGCGTCTTTCAAAGTGTGTGGTTCATTCTTCTAAGATAGATTGGCGAATATACAGAAGCTTGTTGCAAGTTTTCACGTAGTACCGCGCCTCCATCAGACTAGCATCAAACAAATGTTCCCGGTACTGCGCACTAATAGTCATTGTGGAGGTGAATAAATTGACAAGAGTCCATAAACCGTATAGTTCATGATGGTGTTGCCCCTTGTATCACTATGTAGGGCGGCTACTCATCTGAAAAGAGAACAGACATACTTCGGTTCTAGCTGTTTATATTTTCCCGACCAAAAACTGCTGCCTTGGCGTGGTGTTCGGGCTTGGGTACTACAAGGACTAAGCTAGCTATACTAACCACAGCAATGCCACGAAGACCGCAGGTAAGCAGTCAGGCTAAGAGCAACGGGCCTCCGTACTTGTTGCGAGAGTCCAGTAGTTCCGGGACGAGATTAGAAGGAAGACAGAATAGGAGGACGTAACGTACGCCTTAATCGTCTCATAACGGTAGTATATGAGCTGGAAATATATAGTGAGAATGAAGAGTTAACGGTCTATGCAAAATTATGCTTTATATAGTCATGACAGTACTATGCTTAACTGTAGTACGAGGTATTCTGGTAATGTCCTCTGCAAGTGACGGTAGGACTTTAAAGGCAGTATGGTGTTTCCTCCAGGTGAACAGGATGCCTATATCTAAAGAGATAGCGATGACCCTTCTCCCAAGGAAGAGTTTAGTGAAGGTTAACCCAAAAACCCAATCACCCAACGGCTGACCGCGATCGCCAACAAATTATCCAATACGATCAAATTACACTGAAAACTAACCGAGAGTTCAACGTAACTCCAAACATATTCTCTTTCAGTGCGTTCAGTCGAACACAGAGAGGGTCACGTGGACCCTATCCTTGAAGGTGGAGGGCCATAATAATACTACCCAGATCCTTCGTAACATCATCCTCTTCTGGCATGCCATATTCCTTCCATCTCTAGGTTTCCGCCACTCCGATTCGGGTATGAAACGCAACACTCGACTCGGTAGACGGTAACCTGACATGCACAACATATAACCCAGTCACTTAAGTTTGCAGTGCTGTATGGATTCTTTGGGTGAACTACACTCCGCTTCACCGAAAACCCGTCACTCGAGCTCCCCACTTGAATCCACGTGTTCTGGCCAAATCCATCTACAGATTTCAGAAACCGGTAGTCAAAAACTGACGCCTCGGACACACCGTCCGAAGCGGTCAAGCCTCACAGCCGAGCGACAATACAACCTGGACAGTAGACTGCTACACGCGCCCTCAGAGACCCAGTGGAATTTCTTTTTGACGCCACAAGTGGAGCAAACTTGTAAGCACAGTAGAGGCGCTTGGGATTAGTGCGTTCACTTTACCCGTCACACTACCGTCAGAGCCAGTGAAACTTCCGAGATATGTATAGTGTTTGGCGAACTCTTGCATAGCTCCTTGAATTCTCATAGGCATGTTTAAAGATTGCAAGTCTCGCAGCATGACTTTGCGCTTTGTGAGAACGAAGTATACGCCGAAGGACTGGATGACCAAAGTTGGATGTCCAAATATTGCTTGCGTTTCTGGCACACCTTCTGAAATGAGAGCAATGTCGTCTGCATATTACAGGTCAACAGGGTTCTCGCTCTTGGAGATTTGCAGGTCTTCCGGCGATGGCCTCATAATCTCATCAGTGACGAAACTAAACAAAAAAGGGGAGTGAGCATCCTTGTTGGACACTGTTGCTTTAAGGATAACTTTTGGAGAGCTCCCCGTGTGACCGGAGGCAAGCCGTCTGCATCAACCGAACACCACATCATTTGGACGGACGTGTCACGTGCAGGGCACGGACCAAGCGAAGGCGTGATCTGATTGGTCAGAATGCCAGCCAATCCGAGTCCAGAATCTTTGACTCGATGCCTCTTGACCCTCACGGAGATTCTGGCACGACCTTGTGGAACACTCTGTGACTACCCTATAAATACAAGTGGATATGAATATAAAAAGTGCGGGATAATCCCGAACTTTCAGTGCCTAACCTGTTGCAGATGCGTGTTGAAAAGAACGAACCGGTCGACAGAATCGAACGCATTCTTGATGTCAAAGAAAAAACAAGACTTGCAGTCGCTGTAGCATTTGACGGAGTATGAGCATGTGGTCGACACAGCCGCTCCTTGGCCGGAATCTCGCCTGATACTCTTGGATCCAGTATTTAAGGGCTTTCGTAAGAAGTAGAATAAGTGACGAACTCTCTAGCTAAAAAGAGTCAAGGCAATTCCTCTGTAACTGCCACACTCATTTCAAGCAACCTTCATGAAAATGGACACCGCTGTCGACTCACTCCAGTCAATTTGGACGGTTTCTTTCATCCAGATAAATGCAACTATGCTAGAGAATCGCCGATAGAGGATTCCGCCTACATCATTGAACAGAGCAGGTGGGGTTCACCAGGACTTCCAGCACGCTGGCGCTTGAATGATAAAAACATTCTATTATTTCCGAAGTCGTGGGAATCTACCCAAGGCTGCGCTGCGGGAACTCGATGCACCAACTGATGACTAGGTACATTGTTGCTGGAAGTGTTCGATCCAACGATTTAAGTGCTTTTTTGGAGATAAGTGAGTCATTTTCGTCAGTAAGTTCTTCATCGACTGGCTGAATTTATGTGCCTGTTGCGCATACCAGATGGAACAGTTTACGCACATTCGCAGTTTATCGACCGCTCCATCCATTTAGGTGTTTGAAAGCGGGAGAGAGTCAGTGATTGACCCACGCCACTTACAGCTGACGGCAACTTGGCCAACCTCTCTGGGAGGTTGACTCCATGTGGGGAACCCAATGTGGTCAAGTGACCTCGGTTATCTCGGAAGTTAGTAATGTACGAAAAGAGCAAAAAATAACTGCAACAGGCGTCCCCGTTGTCCGTACATCTCGAGTCTGTCCTTGACGACCACTCATATGAACCTCAGAAGAACACTCATACTTCCAAAAACCGCAGAAAATATGCGCGCCAAGCCCACCGCAACAAGGCACTCAAGGCATCGTAAAGAGTGCTCTTAGATGTGTCACAACCATAGTCTACCCGAGAGTGCGCATATGGGATGAACAGGTCGCGACTGTCGGTGGGTTAATGGATTACTGCCGCATACGTTGCCGAACAGACCAAATATAGGTGAGTATCAACAGGTAACCAATCAAGCAGAGACCTTATGGTGATCGTTCTGACCATTGTACATTAGTACTTTCTTTGTAACTTATCATTACTCAAATTGTACCACTTTCTATCTCTCACTAAATCTCAGCTTATTCCTCTTCTCTTCATACCGAATAACTTTTGTTTAAATGAAAGCAAAAGAAATATGGATGCATACACACAATACAAATTCTATACTTCGTGAAAGGCGTGTTCCCTTCTTGCTGTGTCGAGTTACGCTGTCTCAGTGAGTTAACGAGCGGTGATCTACCTTTCAGACTACGACGGGATAGAAGGTATCTAGGAACATGTCAAGGAAGATTCCAGGAAGGAGATCGATTTGGATTTGTTGTGGTGGTAATAACTAACTGTACCAACGAACTGTGAATTGTATCATATCGCCTATTTTTACTCACTTGATTTAACTACTTTGAACTGGTATTTGCTAGGGTTATCCACTACATAATTGGTGAGCCCGAATTTTATTTCTCTTCCTTAGATCACCTAGAACTTCCGTATTCATTTTTTCTCATTACTATCGTGTCTGATTCAAACGATTCACCTATGGACTCGCAAGATATTTTGAGTTTAAGACTACCAGCTTACGGTATTCATCATCCTAGACTGTGGTTTGCTCAGGCAGTGGCAGTTTTCGAGTGCCGTCGCGTTAGATCACAACAAACCAAGTAAAGTTGCGTTGCTGCACATCTTCCACTTGAAGTTGCCCTCGAAATTGCTGACATCATCTACGAGCAACCCGATGTAAACCCATAAGATGTACTAAAAGACGCTTTGATTAAGAGAACAACAGTCACCGATTAACAGATCCTCCGTGCTTTGCTTGCCGGCGTGGTACTAGGTGATCGTACCCCCACTCAACTACTCCGACATATGATACCGCTACAAGGAATGCAGGCGGTAAATGAGAGCATCCTCAACGAGTTGTGGTTACGAAACCTCCCTAGGGATATAAGGAAGGTCTTGTCCGTTGTTGACAAAGACACAACGCCGCCAAAGTTGGGCGAATTGGCTGACCAAGTGTTTTCATGCTACGGTACTAAGCCCTCTCACTCACTGCAATCAGTAGTCACGGATTTCACGGATTGATACACAGGATCGAGGCTTTTGCCCAAGTTTCCCGGGTCGATCTTGTTCTTGTCGGTCAGGGGCTGTCGTTCACCTGAAAGGCACAAGTGAAAAAAGGGTGTAGAACTGCTCTTTATGTTCTCAGCGCGGGGCAGTATGC